GAAATATTGATATACCTTGTTGTTTCAGTCATTCTAGTAAAGGTGTTTGTTCTCTTGTAATCCTCATAATTATTCACTGGAGTCGCTTATAAAAGCATAGCGTCCTTGCCGCTAAACCTCTCAATGACTGATTACCTGATTTTATTTGCAGCTGTATATGTAAATTTTGAGCATGATCCATCTGCTGGTTCCATCCCATTGACGAAGCAAACATTTGTACATCCTCCTAGCGCTAGCCGAATAGTGCTTCCAGATGGTAGATACATGGCATACAAGGAACGAGGTGTTCCACCTGATAGAGCTAGATTTTCAATTATTGCTCCTCACCCTTTTCTTTCCTCCCGGCTTGCAGGTTTTTTCTAAGTTGTGATTGAATCAAATTTTGATGTCAAACTGTTATTTATGCATAAACAGCCAGTTCCACTTGTGTCTTCCATCTCTAATTTTAGGAATACCTGGAGTTAAAAATTCCCTGCTTGAAGAGTTTGGCATTCACTTGTTGACCTATGATCTTCCTGGTTTTGGCGAGAGTGATCCTCACCCCAACAGAAATCTGGAATCCTCAGCAACAGATATGTCTTTTCTAGCAGATGCTTTGGGTGTTAAGAAGTTCTGGGTTGTTGGTTACTCAAGTGGAAGCATGCATGCTTGGGCTGCGCTGAGATACATTCCCGATAGACTGGCAGGTATTAATAGCTCTTTTATCTGACTTGCTCTCTGTTTTACTTATTTCTGTACACAGTCTTATGGATCATCTTGACTTCATGGAAATTGGAGCTTTGATAGTCTGTCAATGTCCAAATAGTTATGCTTTGATGTTCCTCTGTCACATTGTCTCATGGGCATGTATTCTTTCTTCGCCTACTGGAACACATGCATAATGTTGTGTGAAGTGCAACTGAAGTTCACATGGTTACGAGCCAGACTGTCCGTAAATTTTTTGGTGATGGAGGAATTATTTCTTCAAAATCCAATTTTATGCAATTGTAGCTTCCAGCACCAAATTAGCACCTTTTTCCCCAGTTATTATTTTGAACAAGAACAAACTTCTGATTTTTGTTAATTTTGAATGAAAAACATATCTAAATTTCTGTTATCATACACGACCATTTGTGTCATGTCAGCACAAAGTTGTTCTTAGTGAAAAAGCGTCTGGTTAATGTGCCATACATGTTGGTCTTGATCTTTCAAGTAGTAACTTGCAGGTGCAGCAATGTTTGCTCCCATGATGAACCCATATGATCCCATCATGACAAAGGAAGAGAGGCGAAAAACTTGGGGGAAATGGAACAGGAAAAGAAAATTCATGTACTTTTTAGCTCGGAGTTTTCCTAGGCTTCTTGCTTTCTTCTATCAGCGAAGCTTTCTGTCGGGAAAGCATGGCCAGATTGACAGGTGGTTGTCGTTATCCCTTGGAGAGAGGGTGAGTTGAACTTGTTTTCTTTCCCTCTTTTGTCTATGAGTAGATTTGATATTTATATGACAAGAAATGTTTAGTTTTTCCATATTGCCCCCACCATCTTTCACCTATATCCCAGGCTTCCAACAATACTTCACCCTAAAAATAAATAAACGTTGTGATATTTTAAAAAGTAATGATGTGGCTGATTCTGATGAGATTAGGGAAGGACATCTGCAGAGAACATACTGAAGATGGAAGGAAAACTTGCACTCAGAGCACATACAGCACATACTTCAGAAGGCTTAGATCTAGTCGTACATGTGGGATGCACACATTAAGGGTGATCCTAGCTGTCTGGAGTATGTGTTGTGGGTACGCTTAATAATTTCTCAGATAAAGGGGCTTTGTGTGACTGCTGGAAATTGTTGCCATGTTTAAATATGATTCATGTCTGTTCACTTGGTGCTATTGTGCAAGTTTAAAGCACATACTGGCATTAAAGGACCCAAGCTCATGAAGCTATAGGTGATCCTATGTCATGATATCATGATATTTGCAAAAGCAGGTCTCGATGGTTGTTGTACAGGAGTTTCGAGATTTTACTTGTATATTCCATCATGAAAGATTTCAATGTCCCTTCCAGGATAAATAACTAATGGAAGATTCTACCATATGCAATTTTAATGCATATGCTATCATTTGCACGTCCTTTAATCAGAGCCCAAGCTCATCAAGCTAATCTGATCAGTTATTTTAAAGTTCACAGAAACGGGTCCAAATATGTTTGACCAAAAGAAAGAGATTTTGCTTATGCATCCCATCATGAAAGATTTTAATTTCCCTTCTAGGATAAAGCACTAATGGAAGATCCAGTCTATGAGGAATTCTGGCAAAGGGACGTGGAAGAGTCAATCAGGCAAGGAAATGTGAAACCCTTCGTTGAGGAATCTGCTTTGCAGGTCTCGAATTGGGGTTTCAGCCTTGTAGACCTCAAGTTGCAGAAAAGAAAACGGAGACATAATGTGTTCAGTTGGCTCAAGTCAATATTCATAGCTGAACAAGAGGAGTATATGGGTTTTCTTGGCCCAATACATATATGGCAGGTTAGCACATCTTTATTTGATTCCCTTCCTCCCCTCCCCTCCTACTGCTTATAATACAGTATGACTTTATGCATCTCTTCTCTGCGTTTCTAATATTTTTTTTCTTTTGGGGTAACGTATCTTGTTTTTATTTTATTACTTTTCAAGTATACTACATTCGTTTTTATGAACGTAGAAGATTGATATTGGTGATTTTGCTTTAGTCATGTTTGGACCAGCATATGACTTGTGCTATTTCAATGCAATGTGAACAGGGAATGGAGGATAAAGTGGTTCCTCCGTCGATGACTGATTTTGTGCACCGCGTCCTCCCGGGAGCTGCAGTACATAAACTACCATACGAAGGCCACTTTACCTACATCTACTTCTGTGATGAATGCCACAGGCAGATATTTACTACGCTTTTTGGAACCCCGCAAGGACCCGTCAGCATTACACTTGATCAAACTGTCTTACATGTCCGTATTGAACAGTCAGAAGAAGTAGCAGCAGACGCCGGTGACTCCACCGTGGATTAAAAGGTCAAATAAGGGGTGACAATGCGCTTTCTTCCCTTTCCATTAGAACATAATTTACGATGTATATATCATTTAGTTCTGTTTCATCGCCAATGGAGCCGTATAGAAGAGAAAAATAAACGCATTATCGCCCCTTTCCTTTGGGCTGTTGAACTAATCTGTTGTTCAAAAATACTGTATAATGCCCTTCAAAGAACTCCCATGATGCCGTAATCCCGTTTTCGTTATCTGCAACCCAGAAGGGGAACTTTTTGCCGAAGTCATCTCAAAGAACTCGCATGAAAATTGACATGGCACAAACTTCTTACACTGTGGTGACATGGTTTCTTCGCACGCTAGTTTCCAATGCTTGAAGCCTGGAGAGCAGGTGCGTTGCTCAACATATCACCCGACGGGATAAGGGCCAAGAACACAATGCCACATTGCTCCATCACCACCCCATCTTACTCTCAATCTACTGGCCGTGAATTGCTTTCATAGGATGGACAGATTAAATTCATCTTTTTACATTATTATTTAAATGTAATAAAAGATAATTTTATTAAAATAATATATTTCACGTGTTTATTTATTACTTTTTTCCTATTTATAAATCACTTACTTGTATCCGGGGTTTGCAAACTCAAAAATATATTAAATTGATAATTTTTTTTCACATATGTCGTTATCAAAAAGGTATTAAAACTATGTTTTATATTTTTTTCTCACCTATTTACTTTGTCTTTCTACATATTTATTAAGTCAACATGGATGGAATAAAAGAAAACTTATTAATTCCTACAAGTGACTTATATCTAGGATTTTTTTTCTACAAATGATTTATAAATAGAAATAGGATGGCCCATAGTTGTTTTGTATATATATAAAAAAGAAAAAAAGAGTGGCATGTAGATGTAAGATTTATTTATTAAACATAAGTTTATTTAGGAAATTTAGGATATTTTTTTTGGTAAAAGGGGAAAAATGTGACGTCAGTACTTGCACTGATAACCCTTTAACAATTATGATTATTTTCTTGTTTGGCCAAAAAAAAAATTATGATTATTTTCTTCACAAAAATATTATTGATAATTTGTTTAATTTACTTATGAGAAAAATAATGTTATAAGGAATTTGAATATTTTATAAAATAACCAAGAAACATTATTGATAATTTGTTTGATTTACTCATGAGAAAAATAATGTTATAAGGAATTTAAATATTTTATAAAATAACCAAGAAACATTATTGATAATTTGTTTAATTTACTTATGAGAAAAATAATGTTATAAGGAATTTAAATATTTTATAAAATAACCAGGATATCAAATATAAATTTATTACTCTTCATTTAGATTCAAAATAAAATCAGTCACAACTAACTAGCCATTTATGCAATTGCAACGATAGTAGGAGTAAGTAACAAAAGGGAAAGCAGTGCCCCCTGCTCTTAAATCAATTTTTTTTTCCTTTTGATACAAGAATGAAAACAATATTTAAATATTCACGTCAATTATTAAATTGTGAACATATAAATAGTGTTACTAAGTTCATATTCTTCTTTTCTTAGCCAATTTCACTTGTACAATTCACAATCGTCAAATACCCAACTTCTTCTAGTACTAATATGGTGCATTCATGATTCAGCTCGCCTCTTGCTCCGCCGTTTCGCGCCAAGACTCCCCGCCCCCTACCTGTACTTACTGGATACCCAGACAGGAAATTCGAACAAGTCCGAATGTCCGACGATGAAATGGGCGCCTGCGGCCGAATGGCCCCGACGCTCCTCTTGCTTTAGTGAGACGGTGCGTTTGGTGATGTGCACAATGCACATCATCACCCTGCTGAGTCCCCAAGCTGGACGGACCCCTGTTTACCGGGTCTCCCTTTAACGCCCACAATCGGTTTAGTGCATATATAGGACGCACAGCGGCCTCCGGAGAGCGCCGAGTGTGAGCTCCGAACTTTCGCGTTCTTCGCGAGGAAAGCTGCCAAGTTTCCCCCTTATATAAGAACCTTGCTGCTGGTTTACTCCTACCACTTGAATGTCAGCCACGCAGAGGATCCTCTGCGCTCTTTCTCACTCTTTCCCTCGTTCACTTCCTCCTATTTCGTCTTCCTCCTCCTCTTTCAAATCTCCGCCTATTCTTTTCCTTCCCTTCTCTCGTCATTACAGGATTTTAGCTCGTTCCGTGCTTATCTCTCCTTCACCAATGCCTCGCAATCAGGTTTGTAATTTGCCGCTGAATCTCTCTCGATTTTCCGGTGTGTGCTGTCTTCTAAATGCGCTTTCATTGGTCTTGCACTTGTTATCGCGTTGGAATTGTTGAGGATGATGGTTTGCTTTCGATGACTGGTCGGTGTTTGTTCTAATTGCGGTGAAACATGTTTAAATGATCCGTGGTGGTTTGTTTGGTGGCTAAAGCGCCTTCTCTTACCATCCGTCTGTTATTGCTGCTTATAGTTTAGTATTTGAAATTTGTACCGTTTCTTTGTTACTGAACAGTTTTGAGCTGTCATGTGCTATATAATGTCGAGTTGTTGGTTTTCACTTAACTGGAGCTCATAATTTACAAGTAGTATCGAATATGCTTAAGGTTACGAGTTTTATTTAAAATTTAAATGGACTATTAGTGCTTTCTTGATTTATTTTAATTTAGCCCATGTTTCTTCGTTTGTAGGGAGCTGGTCGGCACAAAGAACCAAAATCCAAAGAGAAACCTGAACCTGACAGGATTTCATCGGCCACCGCAGACGCGACAGGTGCTGCGGCTGAAGCTGTTACTCACAGACTGGCTGAAATGCGTATTGCTGAAAACAGCGGCCAAACCGGTGTTACAGCTGCAGCCATACAGTTTGGAGGCGTCCAACCTGCTTGTCCAAAGACAGCCTCGAAACCCAAATCCTATGGAACAGTGAGCGGAGCCACAGTAGATAAAGTTGAAGCAGAAGTGGCTTCAACCAAAAATAGTATTGCTGCTTTGAGTAGGAATAATCTGATAGAAAATTTTACAGTGGACAACTCCGCATACTCACTTGCTCGTATAAGAGCTACTTTCTACCCCAAATTTGAAAATGAAAAGTCAGATCAAGAGGTATATTCCTTTTTCATATTGTTTCATTTCTAATTTTCTCTTCTTTGTTCAAATTTTTGAACTATGTCATGTACACATTTGAAGCAGTTTCCTCATGACCTTGGTCTTCAAACTATATGCTCACATGGTTGCATTCTGCGGAATTTTACCGACAAAGTGATACAGTTAATGAGGAAGCTTCTGTGCTGAGTTAGGCTTTCTGGAAAGGATTCTAGATTGTAGAGAGGCTGAAAGAAACAATTTCGAAACATAATTTATCCTGTCCAAGTATTTTTCTTGGCAATTGAGGATTCTTTGTTGACTTTCATGCCAAACACTCTATAGAATGAAAGCTGAAATAAATCTCCAATTACTGAAATTTTCCCTAGCATCAAAAGCACTCCTCCAACCATAAAAAGAGTCCTTGTAGATGCAGCTACCACAGATAGCTAAGCCTAGATTCTTTGAAGTGACCTGTATGACCCCATGATTATGATCTAGTGTTGCATATGGTTATCGTTCCTTTGAAGCCATCTTATAACCAGAAAGTTTAAACGATCTATAAAAGATTTCATTTCATTTTTTTCCTCCAGATTTTGCTCTTATTTTCCTTTGGTATTTTTTCCATTACTGCAAATTGCATTACTGTGTACTCTGAGATCATTTTTTTCCCCTTTCAGGCAGGTGACCATGCCATTTTATGGAATTGTTACTGATTTATATTGTTATATCCCTGCAGATCAGGACAAGGATGATTGAGATGGTATCTAAAGGTTTGGCTACATTAGAGGTATTATAGTGCTTAACTTATTTTTCTTCGTCAAATTGGAAGACTGTTTAAGTTTCTTTAACTAAGTTTCAAGAGTAACAATAAAAGTACCTCGTGGATAAACCTCTATTTAAAGAATTTTCTGTGCTGGTCTTAACTGAGCTGATCTGCAGGTCTCACTTAAACACTCTGGTTCCCTTTTTATGTATGCTGGACACAAGGGAGGAGCTTATGCGAAAAACAGTTTTGGAAATATGTATGGATGATGTCTTACCTTTATAGCTTTACATTATTATTTAGTTTTATGTTTCAAATTCGGTTTTTGTTTGCCATGATGGCCATGAGATAACTTAGCATATGAGAATTTTTTTATGACATGAAAATTATTTTATTCGAAGTAGAATACTCAAGTACCATTCCCATGGCGGCCAGTTTCTATACTTACATTGATTCAGATGCAGAAATCATTTTGCCAATGGAGTTTTGATTGATTAGTATTTATGAGAGTTTATTTTATTTTTTACTGGTGGGGTGATGTTTATCTATGTTTAGGATAAGTATATTTGTTAGGAGCTTTAGTTATGTTAGAACTGTGTTCAATTTACAACTTTGGAGCCCACATTCTTATAAATAGGAATTTTTAGACTATTCTTTTATCCATCCTTTTCTTATTAATTAAATTCATTCGTAATATTCAGTTGCGTTTAGAAAGTTCACTAAGAGCTTCCTATTGATTATATACTAAATTGCTATCAAAGCTCGAATTCAATCTTCCTATGCTACATTTTGGGATTGCATTTTTTCCTCTAAATCCTTATCTTCACGCCAAACCTTACCTTAGTTTGTTGTGCCATTTTCCAATTTGAATAGAGTAGCCGCAAATATCCCTGAGCATCCAATAGATTGTGGAAAAGAGGAATGGAATTTGATTGAGAAAAAAAATGCTAATTTAATTAAAGATGAGAATTTTTACTCTCAAAGTCTACCAGCTCTAGGAGAGTCTCCTACAACACAAGGATTAACCAATGAATTGACCACTTATGCTACACTTAGGGAGTGATTGTTCATAATGCTAAAACCAGGAATTAGGATTTGCCTAATCAAAGCAATAATTCTCACAGGAGTGGGAAAATGTCGGTGATTATGTGTCCTACTTCATAGCTGGTGTGGCTGTGCTCTCTTCCCTACTTTCCCCACTTCTTTGCCCACCCACTCGTGATCTTCCTCATCCTTTTCTCTATGTGGCCTCTTTCTAGTAGAAAGAGTTCAGAATGGATTTCTTATCCGTATCCCCTGATCATTGCTATAACTGCTTGTTTTTAAGTTTTTGGCCATCGTTGACTTGCACAAAGAGCTTTGATTTTAGGGTGTCAATCCACTGGTGTGCAAAAAGCCTATTTTTGTACTTGTGACGCTTTCCACTTGCTGCCTTAAGGTTTGTGTGTGACAATCATCCTTGTCACCCAAGATGGATTTCTCAATAGTTTTGTGATTTCTCAAAAGGCTTCTTCTTGCTGTTGTATCCTTATTCATTATTGACTAGAGTTTAGCAAGTTTTCTGAAGGCTTCTTATTTATTCTACGCCATATATATCGCTGCATTCTTCAAATTATTTTGGTTTTTGAGAATATATTTATAATGTTATTTTGTCTGGCACAGATATACTGCTGTGGGTGTATTTGTTCTTGGACGGATGTTTCATGAGGCTTGGGGCACTGAAGCGATGAAAAAGCAAGTTGAATTTAATGAGTTTCTTGAGGTGATACTCTAAAAAGCAAAATGGAGATTAGATATGTTAGCATGCCATAAGATTATTCAATATTCATATAAGCATCTCCAAGGATGAAACTAATGAATAAAAGTTGAAAAGAGACATCTCCACTCTAAATTTCACTTAACTATGCCCTGCGAAAGCTTCATATGACATGACATGACATGTCTGCAAATTCAGGGATTAAGATGTGACTGGGGTCTAAGATCTGCTAACCAAACTGTGGATTTAATTTTACATTTTATCATGGAAACTCTGCTTGCCCGATTGGACAGTACTTTCTGTGATAAAAATTGTTTTAATGTGAAATTTATATTCCTTTGCTTCAACAATTGCTTGTTGATCAGAATTTCCTTTAATTGCTCCTATCTCTTGTATTTTTGTTCTATTTTCTTAGTCACTTGTGAGATCGAGGATCAGATATTTTATAATGATTAGCTGGTGAGATGTTTTGCATTCCTTTTAACACGTAGGCTTATGACGATTTTATGGCCTGCTTTTCTTTTTCTTGGAACTTGACTTAGTTGCAATTTCTTTTTGGTTGATGTTTCTTCTCACTCCTTCTGGCATTTACTTTTGTGCCTATACGTCCCTCATATTCAATGACTTTGCCTAGAATTGTTTGTAAACCTTATCTCTACTTTTTGTTCTAGTCATCACATTTGACTTTTTAGCTGAGTCATGTTTAATGGACCTTATTATTATTTTGTCTTTCAGAGAAACCATATGTGCATATCGATGGAACTAGTAACTGCTGTTCTTGGAGACCATGGACAACGTCCTAATGAAGATTTTGGTAAAATAAATTTTCATTTGATTGACTTAAGGAATTCTTGATATTTTGTTCCATTTGGTGTTCCTTTTACTTAGATTTTAGCTTAATCAGTGAAAAGAATTACTTTTACATTTTGTATAGGATTTTAGTTGAGGTCAGGTCATTGGTTGTGGTTATCACCATTATTGTCAAACTCATGAATATCACCATTATTGTCAAACTCATGAATCAACTCGGTTGATTTTGTGAGTTGGCGATTCTATTGAAGAAAAATTAGCTGAGTTGCTCATCAACTTGCAGCATTGAAGACTTGCATGTGACTGGTTGAACTCATATGAATATTTTTGACTCAGTCACAAAGTCAATGAATGAGTGCAAGTTAAATTCATTAACTTGAATTTGGCTAAATAGTTGCCCCAGAAACTGAAAACAAGGGATTGATTTGCTCTAGCACTACCATCGCCATGAAAGCTTCTTGTTATTAGTAACAACAACAACAAGCCTTATCCCACTAGGTGGGGTCGGCTACATGAATCACACGACGCCATCGTGCTCTGTCAACAACCCAATCCTAATAACAAGCCTTCTTGTTATTAGTAAGCAAATATATATACACACACACACATATATATGATATGATATGATATTCTAATAGGATTCTAACTTCAACATAATAGCTCAGAGTCCAACACCTTTGATGCTAGCTGCAAATTATAATTTAAACATGTTACAAAAATATTATTTAATAATAGGAGGCCAAAAAAGATAAAAGATTATTTTGTATAATATGTTTATTTAAACTATTTCAATATACATTATATTAAAATTTCTATATTAAGTATTATTGATAAAAAAATTACCAACATCTAAAACCAGTATAATTTAAATACATTTTTATTATATCATATTATATTTTGACTCCATAATTGTGCATTTCAAAAGTATTATTTTACATAATGCAGCATAAATTTTAGTCATTGTATATATATGTTTCATTATGTTTTTTGTTATTTGAAATTACTTCTATATAAGTTTTAATAGCTACATATTAACATTTATCAATGAAGATAAACCCTCTTGAGTTTACATTATAAGTTTACCTTTTCTTTATGAGTTCATCTAATTTCGCAAGTTTGACAGTCTTGGTTATGTTATTTTTTGAGATTCAACACATCAACCCTAGATTTAGATGCTAAATTGTTGGCTTGCAGACGTAGACAGTGAACTATGATTGTAAGTATAATTGCAAATTCCAAGTGTTGGCGTGTTCAAAACTTTTATTGTTTGTATCAGACAGACTAAGAATGCGATAGATCTCCTGGTAGCTGCTGCAGTCATCTGATCTGCAGTGTTTACTTTTGGCGTAATTGAAAGCTTGCATATTTTAGACTTCTCTGTTGTATTTGAAAGAACTGATGAAATTTTTGATGTAGCATTTGAGTTACTTGTGACATGTAATATTCTACTCCTTTTAGTAAGTAAGGCATGCTTCCAGAAACTGTGGTTTTCAAAATTTATCTCATGCTCAGTATTTTACAGAATCCTCTGTATATAATGATTCATTATATTTCTTGATGTGAGCAGTGGTAGTCACAGCGGTCACTGAACTGGGCAAAGGAAAGCCTAAGTTTTATTCGACTCCTGAGATAATTGCTTTCTGCAGAAAATGGCGCCTACCTACAAATCATGTGTGGTTGTTTTCTACAAGGTGAAAATTTAGGAGCTGCATTGCTTTATGTTGTAAGCTAGACCCGTTTTTCTGTGCATTGTATGGAATTTAAGGAATGACTTGCACTATTCATGCTTATAAATAGTGTCGCTTGCCACAGGCATGCTTTTTTGGGCATCACACAGCTTAAAATGTAACAACTTATTCTCATATGCCTCACAAATGCTGGCATACTCAAATGATTAGAGCAGCATTTGGTGTTCTATTTCATTTCTACTTATACCCGGTTTATATAACATTTGACTCCCTGTCTTTCATCATTAATATAATTGGTTTTTGTTTCTTAATTATTATGTGATTAAACTTGTCACATTTTTGGCATCATTTTTTTCTTTAAAATTTAGTAAGTTTTATGGGTCTTGGGATTAGTCAGATTTTATATTGTGGTCTAACCTTTTGGCCACAAGCATTGTTTTGGACAATCAATGGGTTGTTTGGGTCATTGTTACATTATCGTTTCTGTTTGCTGGTGCAGAGCCTATAGTCTTGCATTCTTTGGACAAATATTTGTTTACATAGTCATTATAACACAATTTCTCGTTTTCCATATGATACTTGCCGTCAAGATACTTATTCTTATATTATAAAAAAAGTTTGAGTCTTTCCCTCCATTATTTAAAGCAGTACATTTTGATGTGGATTTTTCTTGTCAGATTCAAGTCCGCCAGAGCATAAGGAATTTTTTATTTTGCTTTTCTCTAAATGTAGGAAGTCAGTTTCATCCTTCTTTGCTGCCTTTGATGCCTTATGTGAAGAGGGTACTGCTACACCTGTCTGTAAGGCTCTTGACGAAATTGCTGATACATCCATACCAGGTATGGTTTTTAAACTTAACATGCTTGATGAATTTGACCTTTGTGTCTCATGGTTTCATAAATCATACGTTTGAAAGGCTATTTGAGGACTCTTTTCCCCTATAAATCATTTTCACAAGTTCTCGCTTTAGCCATGGTGACTGAGAGTGTAAAGCAATTAAGTTGGCATTGCGGTGAAGAATATGAGAAATCTCTGTAATGGACTATGGTGCTTGGATGTTTGTAAAATGACACTCCAAGACTGCTGGGCCATAACATAAATCACGTTGAGTACCTCTGTAATTGTTATGTGTGCTATGAACACCGTACTGCAGCGTTAGTACTCTCATTCTTTCCCTTTCTCACCACCAATATATCCTTGAAGTCATTGTCCACTAGTTTGTAATACCAATATATCCCTGAAGTCATTGTCCACTAGTTTGTAATTTCTTCATTTTCAATACCCTACATAGAGGGACAAGGTTTCTTCTTGTTGTTGTTTGCTTATTTTCATGTTTCGAGTATCATGGAGGGTAATGACTTGGTTTACAATTTTATTTTCATATTTTTCTGTTTATATTTCATCAGAAATTCTTTTTTTGGTCTTCGAATTTCATGTTGGGAAGTCTCAACTGACGGACTGGTTCCCTTCTCATGAGCCATTAATCAAATGCGCTGCTTTTATACTTGTTTAAATAAACGCAGGTTCAAAGGATCATGTAAAAGCCCAAGGTGAAATCTTGGAGGGTCTTGTGGCCCGTATTGTTGCTCGGGAGAGCTCAAGCCATATGGAACAAGTTTTAAAAGAATTCCCTCCTCCTCCTGCTGATGGAGGCATGTTTCTTACTCTTCTTATGCAATGTGTGCCTGTTATTGTGTCATCTACTTTTCTGGATCCTTGTTCTCTGTTGTTCGTCAATATTAATTTTATGTGAATGTTATCTGACCTTTTAACAAGGTATCTTGATAAGTCAAAGGTGGGCATCACGTAACCAATGTTTAGTCAATATATGTCTGTAAAATATTTTTTTTTCTCTGAAAAGAAAAATTGTGATGTGATGATGAATAAGGTGCTTCTCAGTGCTCAAGTGCACATTGTTGACTAGGGTTTTACAAGTGGTAGTCAAAATAAAAATTGCAATTCGGATTTTGGACTTTGTAATGAATATTTCTTTTTCCTTTAGTTGGCCTTGATTTTGGACCGAATCTCAGAGAAATTTGTGCTGCAAATAGGTCCGATGAAAAGCAGGTATATCATAAACTACATTATCTCCGTTATTTAGTGGAGGCCATTCTTCTGCATTGATTTAGAAAATTTTTGAGATAATTTGGTGATTTGAATTTGCATTTGGATTGCCTTTGCAGCAAATAAAAGCCCTTCTCGAGAGTGTTGGCAGTTCCTTTTGCTCAGACCACTCAGACTGGTTTGGGCCTGATGGTGCTGATGGTCACTCAAGAAACGCTGATAGATCTGTTCTTTCAAAGTTTTTACAGGCCAATCCTGCGGACTATTCCACTAGGAAATTGCAGGTCAATCTAGACTCATGACAATTTTTTATTTATTTTAAATTGACCATTATAATATCCGTGCACTTTTTCATTTTTCATATGGTAGTCATTATCTCATGTTTTTCAATAAAATGGTCAAATCATTTAGTTAATGACATGTTTTCTGTCTTATAATTTCTTATAAAAAAAGTTGACATGCAGTCTCTTTCTCGCTTAATTAGTGATCAATTATTGTTATCTTCCTATATATCTAGTTTGGAAAGATCTCCAATGCTCGAGAAGTATTGCCATTTTGTTTTGCAAATGTGTTGCCTCCTTTTCTTGGGTTTCATTACATAGTGATAGCTTCGATTTAAATCATTTTCAGGAAATTGTTCGGTTGATGAGAGAAAAACGCTACCCTGCTGCATTCAAATGTTACCATAACTTCCATGAAGTAGATGCTATGGCACGTGATAACCTTTTCTACAGAATGGTTATTCATGTACACAGTGATTCTGCTTTTCGACGATACCAAAAGAGATGAGGTCTTGTTTTAATCTGATTATCTCCTTGATACTCTGGCTCAGTTTTATAGACAAGAAAAGAAATACCTTCAAGACCTTTTTCATTTTTGTTTTCATGCTTTTGTTTTGTAAATCTTGAGTTATAAAAAATTTCACAATTTCAGGCATAAACCCGGATTATGGCCACTATATCGAGGTGAGTATTATGCGTTTTTAACATCTACATCTGTATTTACAATTGACACATCAGATTGCAGGCCTTTTTTCCCCAGTCATTTGTTTAGAGCTTGAAGTTTTATCGAACAAATGTGAACATTTGTATCCTAAAGTGTGTAGATGACATAGGCCATCGTATTTGCAATAAAAAATTCTGAATTTTTCAGTATATTGTGACAGATGCTGATCAATAAAATATTAAAAGCAAGTGATATGGTCATTTTTGGGATGAATTGATGCTTTTGACTAAACTGAGCTTGGCTAAGTAGGGTTCTAATTGTGGGAAGTTACTTTGAGGTTAATGCCATGTACTGTTATGTGAATGCATAGAGATACATGTCAAAGACTACTATGGCTCAAAAGGTTAAATGTCAAGTGAATTATAGTTTTTTTATAACTTACAATCTCTAAAATGCTGCCTCAAGAAAGCCTTTTGGGTTTTAGGTCTCGACAAAACACAGTCCTATTACACCTCTTGCTGAAAATTAATCTTAATTGAGAAAATGAGGGATGACGAGGATTGAATCCTTAATAATTTAGTCATAAAGATTTTGATACAATGTCAAATACCACTTTTACCTAAAGGCTGAAACCATTAAGTGAATGCCTAGGAATAATTTTATTATAATCCATAATAAAAATTTCCTTTCTAAGCTTACACTGAATTAAAGAGTTGAGAAGATGGCTAATTGATCCTCGGATATTTCTTGCAAATTTCAGCATGTTACAAATTTTGGACTTTTGAGTGAAAGCACATTTTCAGACTTAGGTATGAGACAGTCCTCTATGATAAACTACTATCAAAATTTACCTCGATCCTTGGGACTCTTATGCCTAATTTATTGACAGATTGATGGTGTACCATTCCCATATAAATTGGGGGTTTATTTTTCCTTTGAACTAATTTTATTGAATCAGCGCAATACTTTCTTAAAAGATGAGAGAGATTCAAGTTCTCAAGTTACCAAGCGATAAAGCCCATCCTAGCAATAGAAAATAAGCAGCTAAAACATGGGAGATAAACGCCAGCTAATCCTATCTGAACAAAATAAATAATAAAACTGGAGAAGATCAAACTACATAAAAGAAACAACAACAATGAGTGGAAATATCATATGCTTGGACATTTTCTATTGTTTTTTTTCCCCCCAAACAATTTTGAATTTGCAAAGCTAATATATGCTGTTTGTGGTTAAATGTTGTGATACTTCACAATTTTTTTCAGGTTTTTTTGTTGATATCAATTTATTCAAGGCAAACAAGGAGAGATCTGGTGAAATCTCCAAGAGCAATGACAATGTGGTTGAAAATGGCACCAGCACCTCTGGAAATGACTTTGCAGATGAAGATGCTAACTTGATGGTCAAATTGAAATTTCTTACATATAAGGTACATGTCCTTGCATACAATCTTCTGAGGCAAAGACAAAGTTGGTCAATTTATGAAAAATGGTTTGGAACTGTTGACTTAAAAACTTTCAGTATATCTGAATGAATTTGTCTAAATCCTATTTATTTTGTCTGAAACTTTGTTCCGTATTATTTTTTTCCTTCTTCAAAAAGTGGGGAGGGAGAAGCAACCCCCCCCTAAAAAAAAAAAAAACTGTAGAAGGTAACAACTCTAGAATGCTGAAATAATTCTTCTGTATATTCATTGTATGATTCGGTCAAATATATACACAGAGGAGATGTACAAGGCCGATCAATGTGGCCTGATTTCATGCGATTACAATCAGCGTAAAACAGGAAATAATATCCCTAAAATCTTCTACCCATATCTACAATTAAATCGCTATATCTTCTCCTAATAATCCGCAACATATTCTACACTCCCCCTCAAGTTGGAGCATAGATATCAATCATGTCCAACTTACCTATGAGAAATTCGAATTTGTCTTTGGGAAGTCCTTTTGTGAGGACATCAGCAGTCTGCTCCCTTGAAGGTATATACCTGAGATCAATCAATCCACCATCAATCTTTTCTCTTATAAAGTGTCTATCAATTTCCACATGTTTCATCTGGTCATGCTGGACGGGATTATGAGAGATGTTGATCGCCGCCATGTTGTCGGAGTAAAGTTTTATAGGCAGGTTTACACCTATTTTTAGCTCTTCAAGCACTCGCTTTGCCCATATACCCTCACAAATTCCAAGGGCAATGGCCCTAAACTCTGCTTCAGCACTGCTTCTGGCCACCACATTTTGCTTCTTACTGCGCCATGTGACTAAGTTACCCCAGACAAATGTGAAATATCCCGAAGTTGATTTTCGATCATCCTGATCCCCTGCCCAATCTGCGTCTGTGAACATTTCAATGTTCCGCTGGCCATTTTTCCTGAAGAGGAGACCACGTCCTGGTGAACCCTTTAGGTACCTTAGAATTCTATACACCTCATTTAGATGTTTCTGTTTTGGGTCATGTGAGTGTTGGCTTACCACACTCACAGCAAAGGCAATGTCTGGTCGTGTGTGAGATAAATATATCAGTTTTCCCACCATTCGCTGGTATCTTCCTAGGTCAACTGTCTTTCCTAGGTCTTCATCATCCCCAATCTTGTCTGTACGTATGGGGGTGTTACTTGGCCTACACCCCAACATCCCGGTTTCTTTTAGGAGATCTAGGACATATTTTCTCTGTGAGATGTAGATTCCCTTCTTTGATCTAGCCACTTCCATTCCTAGGAAATATTTCATCTCTCCTAGGTCCTTAACCTGAAATTCCTTACTTAGAGCCCCCTTGATACGATCAATCTCTGATAGGTCATTTCCTGTAAGCACGATATCATCCACATATACTGCAAGTACTGTGATTTTCCCATTTAGATGCCTGAAGAACATAGTGTGATCACTCTGTCCCTGTTTGAATCCTTGTGTCTTGAGGACACCAGTGAACCTTTCAAACCATGCTCGGGGAGACTGTTTCAGTCCATACAGTGACCTCCTTAGTTTGCACACTTGGCTTGCCTTTCTTCCAGGGAATCCTGGGGGTAACTTCATATATACTTCTTCCTTCAATTCACTATTGAGGAAGGCGTTCTTTACATCCATCTGATAGAGTGGCCAATCTAGGTTTGCTGCCAGTGAGAATAGAATTCTGATAGTATTTAGTTTTGCCACGGGTGCAAATGTTTCTGTATAATCCATGCCGTATACTTGAGAGAATCCTTTGGCTACGAGTCTCGCTTTATATTTGTCAAGGCTGCCATCTGCTTTGTATTTTAGAGTGAACACCCATTTGCATCCTACTGCCTTTTTTCCTCTTGGTAGGTCAACTATATCCCAAGTACGGTTGTTCTCCAAGGCTTTCATTTCTTCCATAACTGCTTGTCTCCATTCCGGATGGGCCAGGGCTTCTTCTATGTCATTTGGGATTCTGACATTATCAAGGTGAGAGACAAAAGCACAATATTTTGATGTGAGGGCCTGATAAGAGACGAACCTCTCAATTGGATGTCTAGTACATGTTCTGGGTTGTTTCCGGACTGCAATAGGCAGGTCAAGATCATTTTGTTCCTGTCTCTCTGTAACCTCTTCTCTTTCATGTTGCATTTGGTCAGGACCTGCTTCTGGTTCGGATTCATGGGTTATTTCAGTAGCCTGAGGAACAGTACCTGTCTTGTGTCTCCGTGCATAGGTTTGTATTTGTTTAGATGTGTCTCCCCTTAAATCAGGAACCTCCTTATTACTTGTGGGTATTGGTTCACTCTCAGGATCTTCAAAGATAGGGAATGGGTCAAATAGGAGCTCAGTGTCAAGTTTTTCAAGTTTATGGCCTAAGGTTTCTTTATCAGTCTGAGATTCACTCCAATGCTCCCCTTGAATTGAAGACTGGGAGTAAAACGGAGTGGTTTCATGAAAGGTGACATCACATGTAACATGAAGACGTTTGGAGTTAGGATCGTAACATTTGTACCCCTTTTGAGTGCTAGAATAGCCCAGGAAGATGCAACGGATGGCTTTGGGATCAAGTTTGTGATGGTGATGGAGGTGAACATAGGAGGTACACCCAAACACACGGAGAGGCAAGGTATTTTCCAAGTAAGGGAGGTTGTAGTGGGTGTGAAGGACCTGCAGGGGTGTTTTGTATGACAAGGGTTTACTAGGCATCCGATTGATGAGGAAGGTGGCAGTGAGGATGGCATCATCCCAGTGGTATTTGGGTACGTTGCTACTAAACATGATGGCTCTGGCAGTTTCTAGGATGTGGCGGTTTTTCCTTTCGGCAATGCCATTTTGTTGGGGTGTGTGTGGACAGGTACTTTTATGGAGGATGCCATGTTCTTTAAGGAAGGATGACAGGTTGGTGTTGAAGTATTCAGTGCCATTGTCAGTGTGAACAATCTGAATTTTTGTTTGAAATTGTGTGTGGATCATGTGATAGAAGTCAACGAAAGTGTGATAAACATCAGTCTTATCTTTCAACAGGAAGACCCAACTCACACGGGTGTGATCGTCAATAAAACTTATGAACCATTTTGACTGTGTGCGATTTGGAACACGAGCAGGTCCCCATAGGTCACTGTGGATAACGGTGAAGGGTTTGGACGCACGATACGGAACACTTGTAAAGGAGGTACGATGATGTTTAGCACGTTCACAAGCATCACAGTAAAATTCGAAGCAATCTTTATTAGAGCAAATAGAAGGGAACATTTGAGTCATATAATGAAAATTGGGATGTCCTAACCGTTTGTGCCATAACTCAAAGTCACTAGCCCTAGGGAGAGACACTTTATTACAAGAGCTAACACGGTGATCAACACAATCATCCAGGTAGTAAAGACCATCAAACTCCTTAGCAACGCCAATCGTCGTCCCCGTCAACAGATCCTGAAAAACGCAATAAGTGGCAAAAAAATCAGCATGGCATCTTTCTTCTTTCGAAAGTTGACTCAGATAATAGATTGCATTTCAAGTTTGGAACATGTAAGACAGCATGCAAAGTGAGTGTGGCAGATATCTTAATACTCCCAATACCAGCAACTACAGAATCAGAGGCATCAGCAATTTTAACCGGTGGTAAGGATGTGGTAGGCGTATAAGAAGTGAAGAGAGTGATATCATCAGTCATATGATCAGACGCTCCAGAATCAACAATCCAACAGTGTCCAGAACTCATACCTTTGATTGTGGCTAAAGCCTTAAAAAAGTTACCTCGTTTAACTACTGTGGCAACCGGTGGCTTTCTAGGGTGTTGATTGTTTTCTAGTGCAGCAAGACGTTCGAGGATTTTGCTCAATGCATCATCAGGGCGACCTGGGTTTGGTGAGGCAGAATCCTCACTTCGAGATGCTTCAGCTACATAACCACGGCCTTTTCCCTTCCGGGGCTTCCAATCAGCTGGCTTTCCATGGAGATCCCAGCATGTATCTTTGGTGTGGCCCTGTTTGTTACAGTGCTCACATGTGGGTCTCTGTTTGGTATTGCTATGGCGTTGATCAGCGGAGCGAACGGCAAGTGCAGAGGGTTCTATGGTGGGAGGCCGAGGAGTGGTGTCAATTTTCATCATAACCTTCTTACGGGAGTCCTCGCTTCTTAGTATGGCAAAGGCCCCACGAACTGAAGGGAGAGGATCCTGGCTTAAAATACGGCCTCGGATATCATCAAAGGCAGGGTTGAGGCCAGCTAATAGTTCAAAGAGGCGCTCCTTTTCAAGCTTCTTTTTATTGTTGGCAGCATGGGAGGCACAGCACGGACTGTCGTCACTAATGAGGTCTAATTCCTGCCAAAGGGTAGTTTTGGCAAGATAATAATCCCCTAAGGAGAGAGACCCTTGTTTTAGGTCCCACAATTTTGCTTTGAGGTCAAACACCTGGGACGCATTCTATCCATCCCCGTAAGCTTCACGGACGGCCTCCCACATCTCGCGCGCAGGGGAAAGGAACATAAAGCATCGCTTGAGCGCCGGAGCCATGGCATTCACCAACCACGAACAGACCATAGCGTCCTCGGTTCTCCAGATCTTCACGGCTTTCGCATCGGACGACGGTGGGGGCGGCGAGTCACCAGTGATGTGCCCGAGCTTGCCACGACCTTCAAGGGCAAGTCGGATCGACTGTGCCCATTCACGATAGTTGTCGCCGGAAAGCTTCTCCGGGACGATCAGAACGGTTGAGCTTTCGAACCCAGCGAGTACAAGGCGCGATGCGCCACTAACAGAGGAGCCTCCTGTCACCGGCGACGGGTTCGGCTCGGGCTGGAGGAGTGTCTCCTTCTCGCTGCCAGAAGATTCAGTCATCATCGTTGTTTTCCCTCACGATTGCTCTGATACCATGTAGAAGGTAACAACTCTAGAATGCTGAAATAATTCTTCTGTATATTCATTGTATGATTCGGTCAAATATATACACAGAGGAGATGTACAAGGCCGATCAATGTGGCCTGATTTCATGCGATTACAATCAGCGTAAAACAGGAAATAATATCCCTAAAATCTTCTACCCATATCTACAATTAAATCGCTATATCTTCTCCTAATAATCCGCAACATATTCTACACTGACTAGGAGAAAACCAACTGTGATTGATCTCTTTTAAACTAGTTTCAGTTTGAACACTTTTAAATAAGATTTTGAAACCGCCTACCCTGTGCCTAGTTAAAATCAGTGTCTCTGGAAGAGTCAATGTAAGCAACTTCCTTTTTACAAATTATTACGTGCCCTGACTTTAATAATCTTTTTGATTTCTTGCCTCCTTTTATATCCTCTTATGATTGCGTTAGACTTGCTTTCTAGAAATATATATCTGGGAGTTCTTTAAGTTTTTTCATTAAAAGAAGAGTTCTTGAAGTTTTGCTTATTAGAAGTGGCTATGCAGCTTATAATTGTCTTATGTTTGATACCATCTGCTTATGTTCTTATCACCGTATTTTTTTCCTTTTTTTTTTTTTTAATTATTGTTCCAGTTGCGAACCTTTTTGATTCGAAATGGTCTGTCTATTCTATTTAAAGAAGGTCCAGGTGCTTACAAGGCTTATTACCTTAGGTATGTAGATTTAAATTGTGAATGATCTTCCTTGACGTTAAGGTATATATTGTTTGTTCTGCTCAATTTTCCTTGATAAATGGAACAACGAATAATTCCCTGATTACACTATGTATTTTTGAAATAGCCTCGTATTGGTGTTGGATCAAGACAGATGCCCGTTCTAAGATAGGCAATAAGGCTCATTAACCTTAAGTCTGCTTCCTAATGGATAAAGTGTATATATCGTTCATTTTGCTTTATAACGGTGTGAGCAATACTAAGCAGGATTTTTATAGAAAGACAGAGATTTCTTTAATTTTGAACTTAATTTATAGTTCCTTATACATTAGAAAATATGTTCAATTCTTAAGCATGTTAATCATATGCGTATGTAGTTCGATTACCTCCAGAGCATGATGCTGTATGTAGCTCCTTAAATGATGTTGAAACGGGGAAGGTGGGAATTCTGACATCTTACCTACTTTGATGGCAATTTTACTGTTATAGAAGAGGAAGCGATGTGCTGTTTGCATGCTAGCATCACCAAAGCTTATATCCTAAACAACTTTTTTAATGTTACAGGCAAATGAAAATTTGGGGCACTTCTCCTGGAAAGCAGAGAGAACTCAGCAAGATGCTTGACGAATGGTAATGCCTTAATCATTCTTCTGCTTGAATCAACATTGAAAGAGGGAAAAGGGGAAAAAAGAATCCTGTATGAGCTATAACTATATTTTTGGCTTCCGCTTAGACTCCTCACTTTAAAGCTATATTTTATTAATGAAAGGAAAATTGCAAAACAATTTCCCTAGCTATAGCAGGGCATGGGGCAGCAGATGAAAAATTCTTCTCTCTGTTTACAGGGCTGTGTATATAAGAAGGAAATATGGAAATAAACAGCTCTCATCATCAATATATCTTAGCGAAGCTGAACCTTTCCTTGAGCAGTTTGCAAAACGCAGTCCACAAAACCAAGCTTTAGTGGGTTCTGCTGGTAATTTAGTGAGAAGCGAAGATTTTATGGCCATTGTTGATGAAGGGCGCGATGAAGAAGGTGATCTTGAGGTAGAGCGGGAAATACCATCACCAAAGTCTAGTACATTGGCTATGAACACTGTTGCAAAACAGGACGGGTTGATTGTATTTTTTCCTGGTAAGCAGTTTACCAACTTGCTTCAGCCATATTTAACGAGCTTATTGGAATTCCCAACAGATAGATTTTTATTGCTTAGCCTCCTCACTCTATGATTTTCAAGATTAACATGTCATTTATAGTGGCTGGAACTTGAGAAGTATAAGAAGGATTTCAATCGATAACATGTCAAATAGATCTTCACTAATAATATTGCGGATGAACTGACAGAAGACTGAATGGGAAGAATTTTTTTTTTTTTTTTAGTTGGAGAGCATAGTGCTAGGGATAGAAGATGGAATGGCTTATCTGTGTGGAATCACAGGCTGGTGCAGGCATCAGACATATGGATAGAGAGTCATACGGCCTGGCTATATAACTAAACATAGACTCATGGCCTGGCCATGTACTCTGGTGAATATAGACTCTTGGCCTGGCCATGTACTCCTCTGGTGAAAAGCAGTTGGTTGTGTTTGAAACTTCTAGTTTTGTATTTTTTAGCTTCTTCATCTTTCCTGTTTGTTTCCTATTATTTAGGCCAGGAGGTTAGTGAAGTTTGAATTAAATTTTTTTCATTTTATTGAGATAGGATAAGCTAGCCTACGGTTGAGCAACCTATATATTGGTATATTCCATTCTTCATTAAACAAGAAAATGAAAAAAAGCCCCCTTTGCAGTAGCTCCGTGTTTCTTCATTTTTAATGGATTGATGAATAAATGGATGGATGGATAGCGCTAAGTTAACCAATTTCTGCGTCTAATGATGCCTGCCCTCCCCTCAAGAACAAGAATTTGGTGTTAACTCTTCGTTCCTAGATTTTCTGGTGCTTGTGTTTGACTGATCAAATTAAATAAAGGCGCCTACAGCAAGTAAACTAATTCTATGAGCTAACATTTTTTAAGCAAGGCTCAGTAAATTAACTTGCTGAAGTTAAGGAAACTGAAATCCCAGAAGACCTATTTGCTTCATACTTTTTAAATAAGCCCTATGTTTGTGGTTTAGATCAACCCTTTGGACGAAGTTCTTATGAATGTAACTTAGACTCAACAGATCCTGGTGTTGATGTAGCTTTTTGTCCGTGATGAGCACACTATTTTCCATGTTTTTGCATATGATTCTCACCCTTGTGGATACCCATTCGCTTCTAAACTCTTTTGTTTGTTTTCCCTTTCAGGAATTCCTGGATGTGCTAAGTCTGCTCTTTGCAAAGAGTTGCTAAATTCCCCAGATGTATTTGGGGATAACCGACTAGTTCATAGTCTTATGGGTGATCTGGTTAAAGGTAAGTTTTATTAAGAAGGCATATTAGAAATGATAGTTCTTGTTTATCATATAACTGTCATTTTCCCTATCTACAAAAGTTGTAAAGAGAGATGATGATGAACATTAGTATGTGTTGATCCTGCCTAGAGACCAGTTATACTTTCTATTGAGATTCAGTTTTATTATACCTATAATGCCTCAATAATTAGGTATCTTTATCCAATTCACTTCCTACTCAATAACTAATATGTGCTTGTGTGGCATATCATCAGCTAAGTATTGGCCGAAGGTGGCTGACGAGTGCAGGAAGAAGCCTTATTCTATAATGCTTGCTGACAAGAATGCACCCAATGAAGAAGTTTGGAGACAAGTTAATGCTCTATCTATTATCCATATATGGTTTATTTGATTTAGTTCTTTGGGTTGTGGGAGGAGATGTAATTTGATAACTTTCATGACAGTATGATGCAAGTTAAAGAGGGGTCTTTTCTTTGTTTTTACCCATCTTTTGATAATAGTACTGGAATATTTACTTCATTTTTCTCAGTGGAACCTTACAGGGGAGGTTATCAATTCCATGTTATCAACAGAATGATAAATAGAATTATGGTTGATATATAGACTGATACCATATGCAATTATGTTTTTGTTGTTGGAAATTCGTTTGTTTCAGTTGGGGGGCATGCTTTACAATCAATTGAAGGATTTATTTGCTGATTTATTTTTAGTTATTCACTCTTAGTGCTAGGACTTGTTTTCTAAATTTTCCTCTCATCAACCATAATTTTATCTGCTTGTCAATATTGTTTTACATTGACTAAATCTTACTTGTCAAATATGCAGTTAGAAGACATTTGTAACAAAACGAGAGCCTCTGCTGTTCCAGTTGTGCCTGAATCTGAAGGTTATATTGGCTGCAAATCCCGGACTTGTTTGTAATGACTGTGCCTGCTATTAATGCTTCATAATGTAGTTTTAGTAATCATATCTCCAAGTGAAATCTGTTTGAAAGCATTTGGCTGTCTTCTTATTGCGGATTCTTTAGTAACTTGAGTGAACTGAGTATATATCTTGATTAGAAATCTGAATTAACGAAAAATGCAATGTTGGAGTCTGTCGGGCTTGACTTGAGGATGCTTGTCTTCTCATTATCCTTGTTTACCACGTGACATATTCTTTGTGATTTAAAACGGATCCTTTCCTTTTTTGGGTTCCCCTTGTCATGCAATGTGGTTTATCATTATGTATAATTTTGCCTTTTATCTCTCCTGTCTGTTTCCTTTCTTGGAAAGTACTTCTGCCTTCTCTTTGTTAGCCACACTCATTATACATATACCCACACTTCAAGATGGAAATATATGAATCAGAGCACAGTACAAGTCCGCCTTTTTAGGTTTACCCGTCTAGTTCTGGTAAAAGAAAATGCATTTGATTTGGCCTGGTCATGATTTAAAGTGTCATGCCATATGATATTGGTAAATTATCATCCCTTCCTGAGAGATGATCAAATTATATGATCCTTCATAGTATTTTGAAACCGAAAAAACTTAGTTCAAGTTACTTGTATCCATTATGTCAAGTTCTTCAATCACATATAGTCATGTATTCTTTTTTGTTTGATGTAGATTTATAATCAAATGCTAATATTTCAAAAATAGGATACATGGCCGTGTGTGATTGGAGAACTTGACATAATAGATATAAGGAACTTGATGCAAGTATTATCCATTTGAAAATATATACTTACCTCCCTGAGACCACAAGATAACCAAAATATCCTCAAGAATATTATTGATTTTGTTTATCATTTAAAAATGTATTTTCTTAAACTTCTATTTCAATATTTATTCATCTTAGAAAGCAAGAATTTATATTTAATGCGAATGTTATTCTTGAAATCAAAATATTATATTTTAGATTTAATATTGAAATGAGTTTTTTTTGTTTCTAAGATATTTTCCAATCAAATTGCTTTTACATTTTTCTGAATTTTAAATTCACCATTTTATACTGGTAAAAAATAATTAAATACTTGTTGTATTATATAATAGTTACAATGGTATTTTGGTCAAAATAAATGTAATTACAGCTTATTTGTAAGGAAGATTAGTATAATGCATCTCAGCAGAAGGGTGTGTATATTTTCAAGATAGATGAAACGACTGTAATTTTGATATCTCTCAAGTGCTGGAGAGAAATTTACTCCAAGATATTTCATGAAGCTCATGATGATAGTTAAGATTGGCTTCTAGTTTAATTTCATGTTATTTAAGTATGCTTCTCTTTATGTTGTTTTCTTCAGGAACTGACTCAAATCCATATTCCCTTGATGCATTGGCTGTTTTCATGTTTCGAGTGCTTCAACGAGTCAACCATCCGGTATGCTTTGTTGCCTCACTGGATATACATTTTATTCATAACTCTCCAGAATTACAATTACCTTATAAATCTTTGTGTTTTCTTCAAATTATTTTAGGGTAGTCTTGACAAAGCATCTCCAAATGCTGGTTACGTGCTGCTAATGTTTTATCATCTTTATGAAGGCAAGGTAGAGCGTTTCTGTTTTGCATTCAATTTTGAGCTATTTTTTGTTTACTAGAAGAAACCCTCTGCAATTGCAGAGGATAGTTAAGAAACTTAAATCAGCTGCACACAGCCTTAAAAAATTTAATAACTAGTATTTTTCATTGTAGAAAAATAGTAGAAGAAAATTATATTTTTAATTCATGTATTGATGCTTTTCAGAGTCGTCGAGAATTTGAGGGCGAATTAATTGAGCGTTTTGGCTCACTTGTCAAGATGCCTTTGTTAAAGTCAGATAGGTACTTCCTTCCTATAATTATTATTAATACTCTTTGTAGTCTGTTCATCATGATTCATGTACTCTTTGAAGTTTAACAGCCACAAATTGTTTGTTCAACATATGTTTGTCTTCCGTTCATCCCTTGTACATTATAATTATTTCTTCCAACCTGGAAATTTTGATATATTTAGAGATAAGAAATAGGTTTAGGCAAGGACAGAAAATGCCAGTCCTTAGTTCTAAAGGGTGTGTAAGCTTTAGGGTGACTTTGTCAAAATCCAATAGTGTCACATTGGGTAATATGGAATGCCTGAGTTGGGTTATAAGTTTGGAGGCTATACCTTCCTAACATTCTAGTTTTGAGGGAGACGATCTCCTATAGGCTTTTAACAACGCTATCACAGCTGGAGCTCTTTCCTTCACACATCGTAAATGGAAAGGTTGCTGTTAGTTTTGAGGGAGGTATATTGATCACTGGTATCAGTAGCATTGTAAAATTTGTCAGGAATGCTTACTGCATGAACTATAATTTTCAAGTTTGTTATATTGCAATGACTATCTATGTCTGTCGTTACAGTTTCTTATAGCTGCTGTAGGCTTTTCATATTAAAGTCTCTCTTTGTGATTACATCTTTATTTTTATGAAGATACCCAGATCAAACTTTCATTGTAAATGAAGAACTCTGTAACAATCTGAAATAGATTATTCCATACATAATTAGAATTCATTTGTTTTCCCCCCCAAATATGCAGGAATCCCCTTCCTCAGCAAGTACAGTCCATTTTGGAGGAGGGCATAAATCTATATAAGCTTCACACCAAGAGACATGGCAGGTCAATGTTATGGTTTTTCACTTGCATAATGTGGAAATAATGACATCTCCATTTTTCCCGCTGTTCAATGGAGAATTGTGAATGCTTTTAATATTTTTCTTTAGTTAACATATGTTAGGATGTGACAACATTAGAATAAATGCATATACTGAGATACCTCTGTATTTATTCTAGACCAGTAACAAATAGTTACTTTGTACAAATGTAATTGTTTCATCTGTAAAAGCACTAAAAAATTCTTGACTTGCCTATAGTATGAAGAGAGCAGAATGTCGGAGGAAGGCATTTCTTTGCCTCATTCTGCTTTCATCATATTATGAGGATGTTGCTGCCTATCAGCATGTATTTTTCGCGACTGTAATCTGAGCTGCAGCAAGAACTACTTTTCTGCCCGTATTTTAAAATGTAAACCTTAGCCTCACATTTATACATCTATCGCGATTTGAAATTAAGTTGGTTTTTGAAGTCCGCAGATATTTCAGGTTTGAGATATTTCGGTTTTTTTTTTTTTTGGGGGGGGGGGTGTGGTGTGGGGGAGTCTTGAGATGTTCTTCGTAGAGTGTTCAGTTTTTTTAAGCGTTAATACATGGCTGTTTTCCCCCATGATTCCTCAAGGTTGGCTACAGTGCACTGAACTTTTTTCTCCCATCATATAATTGAAGCATGTGTAGCATCATGCAATATCATTTATTTTAATTATTGGCTATTGATGGATGGCTACGGATTAAGCTACTTTAGACCCTGCCTTTGGGATTTTTAGTTCAATGTTTGAGATTACAGAAATCTTAAATTGATCACTATTGTAACAGATTAGAGTCTACCAAGGGATCCTATGCCAAGGAATGGACCATGTGGGAGAGAAAATTACGTGAGATTCTTTTTGGAAATGATGAGTATCTTAATTCAATTCAGGTTGGTAAATCTTCTTCTTCTAAAGTCGTAAAAAAGAATCGTATTCTAAAATGCTATTGTTTTCCCTGAACATCTGCAGGTTCCATTTGAGGTTGCTGTCAAAGAAGTCTCAGAACAATTAAGGACCATTGCCAAGGGTGATTATACGCCACCGGACACTGAGAAGAGGAAATTTGGATCCATTGTTTTCGCTGCGCTCAGTCTGCCCGTTACAGAAATTCAAGGAGTCCTCAAGAATGTAAGTGAAGTTTCTTCTCTTTTAGTTGCCATTGATTCTTTTTCCTGATGTGTTGATTGAAAACTTTGCTTTTGTCAGCGTTCTTTATTTTCTATTTTTATTTACTATCCTTTAATTATGTATCAAAGGGCATTTAGAAGTGAAAAATGTATGCTCATGTCAACTTTATTATTTAAAAGTTAGCCCGCATGTTTTGCCGTTAAGGTGGTAGCTATGTCGGTGCTTCTTGATTGGACCCCCCTCCTCCTCTCTCCTTACTGGGACCTGAATTGGATCATGTGTTGAGTTCCGTTTTCTGAGAAAGAAATGAGTCACTGTGGCAGATTTCTTTATATATATATATATATATATAAATTCAGACGAGCAGTCTAAATAGAAGTTTCACTGTAGAAACACTACCAATGTATACAAGATGCAACAACAAAAAATTTCAAGCCCACTTGCCCATTTGTCCCCTACCCCCTTCTTGTTTTTCTTGTCTGCACCTACTTTCAGTGCAATACAGTTTTTTTCCTCGTGTTTCTATGCCACAACATGCAGCCACCATTCACGGTATTCACTCCCTACTGATATCGAACTTGAAGAACAGACGTAAGTCATAACAATATAGAAATCAGGACCCTTGTCTGATCTATAGTATCTATTTTAGGATGCCTCAGCTGCATACATCACTGCACTTCCACCTGACGCTCATCGTTAATGATACATATGCAGATAGCTTCGAGTGATCCTTCAGTGGAAGCTTTTCTTAAAGGCAAGCATTTAGAGAATCTGCAGAGAGCCCACGTGACTCTTGCCCACAAGAGAAGTCATGGCGTGAAGGCTGTTGCGGATTATGGCGCGTTCTTGCATGAAAAGGTGCCGGTGGAATTGAAAGCTTTGCTCTTCTCAGACGAAATGGCTGCATTTGAAGCTTGTCCTGGCTCACTGGAAGGTGAAAAGATAGTTTCCAAAAATGCATGGCCTCATATCACTCTGTGGACTGCTGAAGGGGTTTTAGCCAAAGAAGCCAACGCGTTACCGGAGTTGTTTAAGCAGGGCAAAGCATGTCGCGTTGACTTGAATCCTCCCGTCGCCGTAACTAGCACAGTTGAGTTTTTCTAAGCCTCTTTTTGCTATTCATTCCTTTCTTGAAAAATAAGAAAGAATAGAATAAAAATACATGCTCGTGCATAGCAAAACCAGATGAGTAGACTTGCACTGGGTTTTATAGAGAATGGTGAGAGTTGATGGGGAAAAATTTTGTAGGAGCCAGCATTTTCTCCTGTGTATGCGGCACACATACATGTGATGTCTTGTTGCCCCCGGAGTTATCTGTTCGAAAACATTTTATTCTGATACAGCAAGATGTAAAATAATATCATCTAATTATTTCACTTTCGTCTTTAGATGAATTCATACCTGCTTCCTCGATCCAGGGCCTACGCTGTGTTTGGAACATAACTTTTCTTTTCATGACAGCTTAGTTAGAATTCTCATAGTTGATCTTATAAAAGTATTCACAGATCGTCTATCAACAAATATATCGGTAGTAGGATTTGAATTCATAATTTTGAGTTATGAACAAACTCTTTACTGACTAGATTAACTCTCTTTAGTTAGTGTAAAAAAAGATATATTATTTATAATATTTGATAGCTACGAATAATGTACTTTCATTTCTCACACTTCTTGCAGCCTAGATTACCCAAAAGTTTGGCAAGAAAGCAAAATTGTTTGAAAATTAATAACGTCTACTCTTCTGGTTTTATTTATAAGACAGAGAGAAAAGATATATTTTTGTCTTATTTATATAATATGAGAGAAATATTTTGTATGGATGTATAATTTTACTTTTTATTTATTATTGTATTAATTTTGTTTATATGAAGTATAATATATATTAAATAAAGATAAAATTGGAAAATAGTTGAATTTTAAATAGGAGTTAATAAAGTTTAAAGGTTTTTTTAATTTGTGTAAAACATGTGGAAAGTGATTTATAAATAGAACTAAAAAAGTATATATATTTATAAAATCTTATACAAGGCTATAAGTCATATGATTTACGCTTCATAAGCCATAGGGCCTTACTCTTTACCTCAGCCATGAATAATATCGCCTTTATATACGTTGCGGTTTTCGCCCTCGTCGTGACTTTATGGCCTTGAATTTAAAATTTTTTTAATTCATATACTACTTCCACTTATTAATATAAAAGTTAGTTTAACTTTTAATTTAAATATAAATATAAAGCCTCAATTTATTTTGTCTTTTATATTCATTTATTACCTCTGTAATAATTATATATGTTAAATATTTCATTAAAGAGTAGTTTTAGCTACTCAATAATAAGAGTATTTTAGAAAAAATAACACTTATTTATTATAAATAACTGACTTAACTAATTTTTTAATTATAAATAACTAATTTAACTAATTTTTTAATCTCTTTTAATCAGTCAATTAGATTTTATATTAAGAATTGTGATAGTATTTTTCAGTTAAAAATATTTAATATCAAGATAACGGTAGAATAATTTCCCAGCAAAATTTTCTGAAAATACGAACCTGAACAGTTGCAAATGAGAATCTCAATTGCAAGCTAAGAATTATATTTCAACTATAAACATCTAATTTGTTATTAAGACCCTAAATCTAAAACAATATGAATTTTTATTCTCAATTTTCTTACAAAATATTTTGTAGGATAACGGTAACTAAATTGACATTCTGATTTGATACCTAATTGTCATTCTCTCTAAATTAAAATTACTAAAGAAATTAAAACAATAAAAATAAAATGTATTGTTTCTTTATGTAGTTAAAATTTATCAAAAATTTATCACATTATCTAATCAATGGACGAGATATGGTTTTATTAAACAAAGTGTTCATGATTTTTTTAAAGGAAATTTGACCCAAAAGGATCTTTTAAATGAAGTGTTCTAGAGCATGGACTGCGTCTAGCCCTCGTGATCGGACGTTTATACCCATCCGCGTCGACACCATGAATCGACAGCAAAGCTCCCTTGATTTTACATGCACGCCACGTATCTACCCGCATTCCCTGCCTCCTCTCTTCATAAGCACCCTTCCCCCCTCCATTACTCCCCCATCGCTCAATTCCCACACACAGGAGATAAAAGAAGAGAGGAAACTATGCTAAACAGAGCTACCCTTTTGGTCTTTCTTCTTGTTCTGTGCCATGGATTGGCAATGGGGAAGGATTATGTTGAAGAAGAAGAAGATTGGAGGAGCGAGGAGCCAGAGAGAAAAGAAAGATGGTTGCCTGCAGAGTCAAGTGACTGGTTCTTGTTGCGACGCTCGAGGCAACTGATCAAGACTGATGCAGGGGAAATGAAAGTTACGGAAAGCTATGGCGGTAGGGTTGTGGACAGGCCAATGCACATTGGCTTCATCAATATGGAACCAAAGTCCCTGTTCATTCCTCAGTACCTCGACTCTAGCTTGATCCTTTTCATCCGTAGAGGTATTACGATCTCTGTTTCTCCCATTTGTGTTCGTGGTTGTCAGATTCAGTTTGTTTTAAAGATATCAGTTAATTGCAGGGGAGGCGAAGTTGGGATTCATCTACAAAGATAAACTGGCAGAAAGGCTTTTGAAGACTGGGGATGTGTACACAATCCCAGCAGGCTCTGTGTTCTACTTGGTGAACACAGGACGAGGTCAGAGACTTCATATTATCTGTAGCATCGACCCCTCTGAGAGCTTGGGAATAGGCGTTTTCCAGGTACATGCATTGTGTTACTCATATCTATTTTTCATAATCAACAGACAGTCTAGTGCCATTATATCATTGCCTTTGATGAAGACTGATTTTCATAGCTAAATTCTCAATCTCTCGGTCTCTGCGTAGTCCTTCTACATTGGAGGAGGAGCCTACCCGCCATCAGTTCTTTCTGGGTTCGAGCCTGAAGTCGTTAGAGCTGCTTTAAATGTAAGCTGCAAGTTTAACTCAACAGCAACAGCTAAGAAAAATGCCAAACTTCCATCATCGGCACGAAAGACTTAACGATTTTGTTTATCATACAGACATCAGGCTTTGAGCTAAGGAAAATCCTCACGAAGCAACAAGGAGGGCCAATCGTGTTTGTGGATGACTCTCACGCCCCAAGCCTATGGACCAAGTTCCTTCAACCGAAGGAGCAAGACAGGCTTCAACAACTCAAGAAAATGTTGGACGTCCATGCAGAATCCGACGATGACGAAGAGAAGGAGCAGGAGGCAGAGCGAACAGATTGGTCATGGAGGAAGCTCTTGAACTTTGTCTTTGGAAATGTGAACAAGGAAACAAAAAAGAGAGAGATCGTTAAATCTCCTGACTCTTATAATCTCTACGACAGGAAACCCGATTTCAGAAACCGCTTTGGTTGGAGCGTTGCTTTGGACGGCTACAATTATTCCCCGCTCAAACGCTCCGGAACCGGCGTTTATCTCGTCAATCTCACAGCCGTAAGCAAACTCACTCCATTTTGACCCTCTGGACTTAGATCTTGAAGTGATGTGTTGTGAGACTTACACTTTATATTACAAAGCCAAAATCCCGGCAATGTTTCAGTTCTTTTCCATTACTATGGCAGGGGTCCATGATGGCACCGCATGTGAATCCAAGGGCCACAGAATACGGCATCGTATTGTACGGAACCGGAAGGGTTCAAGTCGTGTTTCCAAATGGAACTGCGGCAATGAATGCCAAAGTCAGAGAAGGGGATGTGTTCTTCGTACCTAGATACTTCCCATTCTGTCAAATCGCATCGAGATCTGGATCGTTAGAGTTCGTCGGGTTCACAACATCGGCGAGGAAGAACAGGCCACAGTTTCTGGCGGGAGGAACGTCGCTTCTCAACACCCTGATGGGGCCTGAGCTCGCAGCATCGTTCGGCGTAAGCGAGAAAACAATGCGGCGGTTGGTGAGAGCTCAGCATGAATCTGTGATACTGCCAGCTGAACGCGCTTCGCCTGGAGACGTGGACGTAAGACGCAGAGAAGAAGGGGACGAAAGGGAAGAACGAGGGGAAGATGCTTGGTCGAGTAATTAAGAACTTTGAGAGTAATATGATTAGGAGACGTGATTAGATTAAGATAATTAGGATTAAGAGAATAAGAGGGTCGGGTTAGTGAGAAACGATAATTTAGCTTTTAGCCGGCCAGAAGCTCGTTGCCTAGTCCGTTTCATTTTGATGTTCTTTTTCCTTTTCTTTCAGAGGTTTCAGTACTTTCACGAATTTTCCTTCGCCGTCAATAAAATTTTCATCTCCCGACGTGGCCTCCTCATCTTGGACGAACTTAAAAACAATTTTGTTTATACTATAATTATTTTTTAAGCCCATAGCCCTCCCCTAAAGCAACTTTATTGGAATCGCAGTTTCTTAATTGTGATTATGTGAGAGGAATCTTATTTATACTCACGTGAAAGTAGAGTAGAGATTAACAAGTCCAGCCCTTATTGCGTGGTTGCGTGGCGGAGTCGCCGTGGCTTGTCAGAATTGGGTGAGAAACTACCATATGAAGGAGGTTGGATTGGTCGTCAAATCTTTGGACGCTCTACACTGATTAACACATCCTAAGACGCTAGAGGCTTATTAAGTTTTGGAGGATTTTAAGAGAAAATGTGGGATTGAGTTGATATTTTAACAGGATCAAATTCACTTGTATGCTATTCAATGATGCTCTCCGACAACATAACTTTACATGAGTATGTTAAACATGTAATTTTTTACGACGTGCCGGAGGGGAAAACCAAAGTATTACGTGCAATCACACAACCAACATAAAGTGGTCTGTAACTTCCACCATCTTATTTTACGTCCATGTTGGTTATTGGTTCTCAACATAACTTTATTGAATTCTTCTACCTGTTCTCAAAGTTGCTAAGGATGTGAACTTTGGACAGATTTTGAATTACGTGACGCCTCAATGCCACCACCATATCTCAAAATCTACTTACACGTTGAAATTATCTTCATTTCAGGATCATTACGTTCTGCTATGCCTTCTCTCACTCACGGTTTTGACCTTATAGTTGCTTTTGCTCTCGTCCTCTTCACCAGTACACTATTTTTTTTTTTTAATTTTTCTTAATGTAAAATCAGGTCAAACAAGAAAACTTGGAGCGAAACAAAAAAATTGTGACGAAGAAGATTGAATCTGCGAGGCTTCAACCACATTTCCTCAAATCAGAATGGTGTTCGTCGTTATAAATGAGAATTGGCGATGGTTTGATCGACGCAGGTGAGTGAGATATACTCTTCTAATGTTATAGAGCTGCTTGAGGGAACGCTGTGCTCATAAAAATCTTTGAGGTGCTAGCTTTGCTTCCTTTCGTCAACTATTCAACACGTGCAACCCACGTGTCTTTAACAAGACTCTCCGAACAGGTCCTCGGTGCTTTTGAGGGTGAGACATCTCAGCACCGCCTAGACCTCCCAGATCAGCCATGAGAAATCGCGGCACTTCCTTCCTTCTCCTTCTCCTTCTCCTTCTCCTCAATCTAGCTTTTCATGCCCAATCCGAGGTTATCTCGTTAACCGCCGACACATTCTCTGATAAGGTATGTACTCGTCGCTCTTTGTTCTCGCCCGATACCTCAAACTTGATTGAATGAAAAATCCTCCTTGTTTTTTTATTTTTCGAAAGAAATACTCCTGAATTCCGCGGTAATTGCTCTCTATCGTTTATCATCGATAGAAATTTACGGACCCATGCTATCTATTTATTTGTGGCAATCATATGGAAACATTCCTTTACCCTAAATTACTGTAAACAATGTTCTAGTTGCCGCCGGTTGATGATTGCCTCTGCAGGTGCAGATTGTGATGTGAAAAACTGTAGAATACGGATGTGTGTGCTTGAGGGTATTCATGAAGCTGTTATTGAATTGCACGTCAGTTGTTAGTTTTAGGGTCGCATTTTTCAATCACCTTTGTTTTGCGTATTTGTCTGTTTCGTTTAGATCAAGGAGCAACACACTGCGTGGTTTGTGAAATTCTGCGTTCCCTGGTGCAAGCATTGGTAACTTTCTTTTTCCTACTCTGCAATAAGCTTGACTAAATTTTCAACTGCTTACTGACCTGTAATGGTAACACTTAATGTCAGTAAGAATCTGGGATCATTATGGGATGATTTGGGCAAAGCGATGGAAGGGGAAGATGCAATAGAGATTGGAGAAGTAGATTGTAGCATCAACAAACCCGTATGTGGCAAAGTTGATATTCACTCATATCCCACTTTTAAGCTCTTTTATAATGGAGAAGAAGTTGCTAGATACCGCGGTAATTAAAATCTTTCCGTTTTGCCAAAGATGTGTTTCATAGATTCCACTTTATTCTCACTGTTACTGTTTATCAATTTGACCCATATGATCCAAGCTTGTGATTAAGAAGGTGATCGGATGAGCTCGATTGTAGCCAAAGATACATCATCACATTACAATTTTCGATTTTAGAGTTGGTCTATTTCTAAGGATCATGGATAATATTGAAATTCAAAACTTATTTCTGGTGAAATTTTGTTATTGACATTGAAAATTATTCAAGTCAGAGGTGGTTGATTTGAGTAATGTGTTAATAATTTTGTATTAGATCATTAACCTGAAAAAATCTGTGTATGTCCTTGTCATATTTGGTCTAAGCTTTCTTGAGTCTTATTTTGATTTGGTTGTGGGATACTCGTATTGGGTACTTCCTCTCTTCCTCCTTCCCTCTCATTCGGTATTAATTTTGCCTTTTTGTTTAATGCTCAGGCCCAAGGGATGTTGAATCATTAAAAACCTTTGTTTTGGAAGAAGCTGAGAAGGCTTCGGCAAAAGCACTTGACATTGATAAGGAATTGTAACAATTTTGTGGGTATACTCTGAATCTCACGCCAGTGCTGGTTTTTTTTCCTCCTCTTCTGAGTCTTTCTAGTTGTACTGCATGTAGGCAAACTTGAATCTCACTTTTTTTTTCTTCTGGAATGGCAATTGATCAAGAATTGCGTTTTGTGCAGCCATAACCCGGGATGCTACTGCTCTCTATTCTTCACCACAAGTGCTGCAGGTTTCACATTACTGATTATCTCTGGGCTTGAGCTGAGATTAGTGAAGATACAGTTTGCTCTGCTCCAAACATCATTTGTTTATTCTACCAAGTAGTAGTTATTTTGAAGATTAGTTTGTATTCTACCCCGTCTAGTTTGACCCCCCGAGTTCATAAAACTGATAAACATCCGAGTTTCAATTTTGGATATAGATGCTGGCAGGTTGAGAATCTTGAATCATTCTTGCAGGGTTTTCCTTTTTTTCATGTCCATCTCTCGTTGACTGTTCGTGATTTTTTACTGAGACCTGCGCGATTAATATGTTATCAAGTAAATAAATGCATAAACGGCTAAATATTGAAAAATATCATGGCATTCGCTTTAGCTTTGTAATCTGCCTAACTGATCATGATTGTCATCCAGATTTATGTAACAGTAGATAATAGCGTCAGCTTGTTAGATATTAGCCTAAGAAATTAGTAAATGCAAAAAAAAAATGTTTAATTGTAATTGGTGGTCGTTTTCAGCGCACACGTCAAGCTACGATGTAGTTGTGGTACAGCATTATGGGAGTTGTTTGATTAATTTTCCGCTTGGCATGTTGTAGCGGAATTAAATTATGTCTTGAAACGTATCAGCCAGGACCACTCGTACAGTGAGAAACCAATGAAATGTCCATAGTTCGGGTCTCTGTATTCCGTATATGACCAATCAATTTGACATGATTACAAGAATTGTGTTACAAAGGGAAGCAAGGCCGTCCTAGAACTAAACTCGGTTCAGGCATCCTCTTTTAAAGTACAAGCTAATTTTACCCCTTTTGTTCTGTTAGTTCTCTTCTCTCTGATTGGGGAATCTTTGGTCTGGTGCGTCCCCTGTTTCCTGGCAAATTGGATGCTGTTCGCTGGGGGGGTGGGGGGTTTTGGATGCAGGCTTTGACTCATGGGCCCAATGTGTCGTAGACTGCAGACGCGAGTCGATTCTCTGACTGAAGAAATCTGGAAACTCAAACCATTCGAGCTGCTTCTATGTAAAGATCATAGACAGGCGCCAGCTTCAGGACGCTGCAAGGCATGGTATGATCGATTACAGGCAACAATGATTCCAGCGGAGGCCATACATATAGGCCATGGGTAGAAGACTGCCATAAAATGCTTCATGGATTTCAAAAAGGTAAGCTCTCACTCAATAACTTGAAATATTCTTGTAAAGCGGAATGTTACGTAATGCCTGAAAAAGGAAGCAGGAGAGTGAATAAGCAGATACCGAAATGAAGAAGGAAAGTGGAAAGCAAAGAAGTGGCCCTTTGTTTTGGGGATTGATTCCGTCGAGCGATTGCAAGAGGAAGGTTTATTAGGCAGGAGAAAGGACGCCATTGGCACAGAGCCACTAGCGGGGTGGTGTCGATGCTAAAATGGGTCAGAGACAACGGCGTCATCTCTCCTGCATAGCAAACCTCTCATGCTAACCTATTACGCTATACTATAGTATGTACCTCTCCCTCTCCCTCTCTCTCTTATATTCATTCTAAACCCTATCTGCCAAACCCCTCATTTATAGATTCTATTCACTTGTTTCATATCTTGTTCTCACAGTTGATACGTTTGCCCCCAAACACATCACCTTTGTTGTCATTCTTATGTGGTCATGTTCTTCTGTGATGAGGTCACTTCTCTGATGTCGGCTCCTGTCGTGAGGCTGCTCCACCCTTTTTTTTTTGGTCGCTTTTTCTTGTGTTCTCTGCATGATTTAGTTATAGTGTCATCATCATCACCAATAATGCATTTTCTCCCTGTAATCATGATTACTTTTGTGAAATGGAGAAAGCTATGGGAATAATATTGGATGAAGGCCAAGAGACCATGTCCACTTACATTGAACACTCCCATTTATTACTTTTTCTCTTTTTCCACCCTCATGATTTGGATGTACAGCTTAGCTTTTTCCTCACTGGTTGTGTTAGTTTTTTAATTAATTGTTTGTGGGTTTTGTTTGGAACTGCTTATCTTTACATTAAATGCTTATTTTTTATTAAATGTGTCTCCAAAGTGTCCAGTCTTTCAACCACGCGAGTGCAGACGTTGAATAGCTTCAGTCCTCTGCTTACAACCCGCCCGCCATGCGTCTTCTAAAAGTAACGTGGATGTAAATTGTTTCATTCATTCATTTTCGAAGTGTTACTTGATTGTGAATTTATTTTTATTCTTACTTCTAAATGTAAGGTAGATAACTAATTTATATATATTAAAAAAATTTGTTAAATTAATTATTTAAAAAAGTATGTTAGTTTCCTAAAAACGCCTCCTTTTAATAATTTTGCAAGGGCAATAATTCTATTAATGTGTGCAATCAATATCTAATAAATATAGAGAATAAAAAATATTGATGTTTTATATTTAACATCAAAATAATTCTGTCATCTAGCTCTAAGTATTGTCTTTTAAACACAAAGAAAATTAGTGCTATTTTGCACATGCTGGCCCCAAAAAATCAAGCCTCTAAAGTTCTGAACGAGGAAAGTGCCAACAAGTAAATTTTTCTTTTTGTAAAAGCCACACTTAATTCTTCAGTTTTATACTTGATTTTAATTTGGTCCTTAATTTTATAAAGTATCCTTTGGATGTTCAGTCCTTAATCCCATTAGTCTCAAATAATATTATTTTTGTAACAATCAAATTAAATTTACTATATCAATATTTAAGAATATTTTATCAACATGTAAAACTTTAATTTTAGAATTTTTTTGCTAAAATAATTTATAAAATTTAGAAATCAAAATAAAATCTTGTATGAATTTGATTTATTTAAATTAGTAATTTTCAAAACTTTAACTACTTTTTTTAAGTTAAGTTGCACCTCCGGACACAAGGTCCGGACTCCGCCTCGCTACTGACCCATTGTTCATAATCATGTGGCAATATAAGCACCGTTTGTTACTTTTAAAATAAAACAATACTAATCTACTTCTGTAAAAGTTCATTGGAGCTTTTGGAAAGAGTGGTCCACTGCCCCTGTCATCGCCGCGTTGGCGAATTTGGTCCAATTTTTCTTTGTGATAAGAATTTCACACACAGACACACATACCTCTTTGTTCAAATTGATTTTTCATTCTAAATATTGATCAAGATGCAATTGGTTAAGAGTTAGATTTTGATGTTGTTCTGCTGCAAGTATATCTATAAGCAATCAATTACTTCTTCTTTTCAATTATTAAAAGGCAATTTTATTCATAAACATAAAAAGATTACACTAAAATTAATTACTACTTTTGATCCTTAATATAAAGCCAGTTAACTAATTTGAATAGATTAAAAAAATTAGTTAAGTTAGTTATTTATAATAAATAGATATTAATTTTCCTAAAATATCTTTGCCAATCAAATGTATTAATTAAAACTACCATTATTATAAAGACTATCTTAGAATAAAATAAATAAATATGAAAGATAAAATGAATTGAGATCTTATATTTAAAATTAAAATAAAAGTCAAATAAGTTTTCATACGAAGGACCGAAAATATAATACTTATCCTTTTCTATGTCTTGAACATGAGCTTCGCAGATTAATAAATCGACTGAAGTAAATTGACAATTTCACGTTTTTCATTTCTGAAAATGGAAGGGGTTTGAAAAAGTAAAGTACCCTTATACATTTATTTTTATATACTGATTAATGAACATTAAATTTTGATTTAATTAATCTTGTATAAAAAATCACAATGTTTAGAAGCGAATATCATCGTTCCAAAAAAGGGGCATATTATAACCTAGTTTTGAGGCTTCCCATGGACAATACAGCGGGGCCCACACAATTTTGGTGTTAGAGAACCCTCCAACGTTTGGATTGGCCTCAAATGAAACGTGCTGTTTAACTTCGTATCGCATTCTGGTATTTAAAAAAAAAAAAACTTCGTATCGCACTAAAGTTGGTGTTCTCGTCCCTTTGTATTTTATGCTCTCTCAGAATTTCCTCCCATGCGTAATGATCATGTTCACCATCAGTTTGTTACCTCCCAACCAAAAAAATATATATTATTTTAAATAAATTAAAAGAAAAACAATTAACAGTTAACATGTGATAAATTATTTTATATATTTAACGGGTTATGTTATTTTATTTTTCATCTAGAAATCTCAGGATACGTATAGTAAATGTCATGTCACACATACATGTGTTACAATTTGAGAAACACTGTTGTTAGAACTACTAATTTAGTGACACTAAATATTTTTAAAAAATTGTTAAAAATAAAATTGCGAGTTTGATTTTTTTTTTAATAAATATGATGGGTAACTGAGTTTATTTTGTTGAATGAAAATTTTAAAAAATGGAGAAGCATTGTCATGCTATCGTTGGAAAATATTATTAGTGGTCTTAACGAAACAGAGAGACGAAGAGATTCTTTAAAATCATGCACGCTTGTTTACGCACACACACACTCTTATTATATTCAATAAAAAATTCATCCAGTTATTCGAATTATTTTTTTGTTTATTAAGATTATAAAAATAAATGTACGCTTACTAAAAATGAAAATATTAGAATATATTTAATATTGAATATATCAAAATATAACATAAATTGTGTTTATGAATTTCTATGACTTACAAAATATGATTATTTTCTGTAAAAGAAAATAATTATGTTGAGAGACAAACAAGTTCGCAAACTGGTTCATACTTCTGATACTTTATTTTGTTTTTATCCACATCTATTTTTTTTTTTTGATCAGAATTATCCACATCTATTAAACATCGATACTTAATTAATTCTATCGCACTAAGAAAATTAGGACAGCTTTCTATATTAGAGTCAAAGATTGAAATAAAAGAAAATGAAGAGAGGGGAGAAAAGCTGGGGAAAAGCCCATGAGTGCGTCCATAATCACCAAAGTCGCAGATTTTTACAGTACCTTACTGCCTTTTGTTGCATTGTCGCCCTGATCCGTCGTCCACCTGCCATAAATGCCTTCTGGATAGGACGACGCACAGCACACTTTACCCCAAATGCTCTCCCTCATACTCTCACCTCGCCCTCATCATTGACAATTACTCTTTCTCCATCTCTCCTGTTTCTTTCTCCCAACTCCTCCCAGAAAAAAAATGCAGTCCATGTTTAACCTCCGAGCCTCCTATGGCGTCCCTCTCTGTCTCTCCGGGATAACCCTAACCCTCCATGCTTCTCTTCCCCAAGAGTAATTCCTCTTTTTCTTTCTCTCTGCGCACCCAAATTTATGATCTTTTTGTTTCTCTCTCTGTCTCTCACAATTTGCGTTGTGTTGGCGGTGTAGGATGGCAGATCACGATCGCAGAAGGGAGATCATGAGACTGAGAAGGCGCAGATCACTGCCCACGCACCCTCGTCA